TAAGTATTGGAAATTGGTCCGATCTCTAAGAAGAAATGGTCCGATCTCTACCATCTTTATAAGAGATCAAGTGTTGATGGAAAATAGAGATGTACCAAGTCTGAATGGTATTGGATGTTAATTTCGCATTTTATGAGCTTCATGGATATTCAAAATTTTGACCCGTTGTGGGGGAGGAGGGATAGACCGATATACCCCATCTTCACAGCTGATCTTGTGTTAGTAGATATAATGACATGTGTGAAATATGAAGAGAACTGGATGCTTGATTCGAAATGTATGATCGTTATGGTTATTTAAATCGTTGATCCTTTGTGGGGGAGGTACCACAAGAAATGGTCCGATCTCTACCATATTTATAAGAGATCAAGTGTTGATGGAAAAATTGAGATGTACCAAGTCTGAATGGTATTGGATGTTAATTTCGCGTTTTATGAGCTTCATGGATATTCAAAATTTTGAGCCTGTGTAGGGGAGGTACCAGAAGCGATGAACCGATATATACAGCAAATCTTGTGTTGGTAGAAATAATGGTATGTGTGAAATATGAAGAGAACCGGATGCTTATTTCGAATTTTGTGATAGTTTTTGTTATTCAAAACTTTGATCCTTTGTGGGGGAGGTACCAGAAGGAATGGTCCGTTTTCTACCACCTTTATAACTTGTGCTGGTGGATATTTGAGATGTGCCAAGTCTGAATGGAATTGGATGTTAATTTCACGTTTTATGAACTTCATGGATATTTATAATATTGACCCTTTTGTGGGAGAGGTACCAGGAGGAGTGGACCAATATATTCCATCTTTACAGCAGACCTTGGCTTAATAAAAATATTGTGATGTGCGAAAATGGAAGAGAATCGGATTCTTACATTACATTTTATAAGAGTCACAATTATTCAAAATTTTTACCCTATATAAAGGAGGTACTTGATGGAGTGGACCGATATTGTCCATTTTGACCACACTTGACCTAGCACTGATGCAAATACTAGGATTTGCAAAATTGGAGCAAAATGGGAGTATCGTTACCCTTTATATGCAGAACATTTTTCGAAAATGTGACATTTTGTGGGGTAGGTGCGAGAAGGAGTGGACCGATATTGCCCATCTTCGAACTCGATCTAAGTTTGATAACAATATTACGAGGTACCAAGTTTGGACCAAACAGCATACTACCTTCGAGAGTTGTCGTGCGCACCATCCAGCCAGCTAGATAGACAGATGGACGGATAGATCGACTACAAATGTCCTGAATTTTGTCTAAAGAGACTTGGGGTCTAAAACCATTATTTCGATGAGACACTTTTTGGCCATATCAAATGAGAGGGTATACTCAAGCTATATGGCGGAGGGTATAAAAATAACGTAAAAATACGAAATGTAAGTGCAATTCATTGGAAAAGTGTAGTTGATTTTTTCGACGGACTGCCGATTAATCAAAGTCTAGGCGAAACTCTGAAAGCTCACTGTGGGTAGAGCCGTTTGAAAAGTCGGCAATAAAATTCGGAAATTCTATTTTCAGGGTACAAAAAAATTATTTTGGGATGTAGGATTGAAAACAGGATGTGATTGAGGAAATTAAGATTTCAAAATTTTACATTTCAAAATTATTGAATATAAATGTTTTTATTTTGTTATTGCTGAAGATTCAGATCAGATAATTACTTAAGTCTGGAGCGTTCGCCCAACGGCTAAACTACATATTAATTTCTAATTAAGAGAGCAATATTTTACAAAACGAAACTAACAGCCCTGCCATATTTGTTGATCACTATCGATATCATGATTTTATTCCAGCGAAGGAAATGCTCGATCTACACCTTAGAAATGTATGATTATTCACAATTTAGGGTACTGCGTGGGAAAAATTGGGCCTACAATATCGAGTGTTCAACCGCAAATTATGTACCCCCTGTGATATAGTAACATCTAGTATCACAGTGTCTTGCCGTTCATTATGATGCCTTTTGTTGCAGTTCTCTCTTTAAAATGTTGTGTTGTTTCCTCAGCAGGGTTTGTGTCTTAAGTCTTTTGTTTCCTTTGTTAACATGCCTTGCACGACATGTATGAACATTCCATTGTGGTTTGCCTTTATCAAGATTTTTGTTAAATTAGTATATTTTCTGGCTAATGAGCTGTTTTATTTAATAAGACTCCCTTGGCTGGTCAAGAGGAGGTAAAAAATAAATACAATTCCCTAATTAAATATTGAGTTACATTCGAAAAAGCAAGCAAGAAAAACTAGTTCAAAATCATATCAACTTGAGTCTTGTGAGTAAACCAATCAATATAATTACATTTAAAAACAAGTAAGCAAAGGCTATAGTCGTGCGGGGCCGACCATGTGATACCCTACAACACTACAATATGTTGGAAGCCCCCTTAGGTCCAAATCCATTTTGGAAGATTTCGATTTTGAAATTATGTCACGGAGCACTACCATGTAGTGCTGTTAGATGTTGTGGTCCATTTTAGAGCTAAATATAATCCAATGGTCATCCAAAATACTAGAATTCTCCCCTGTCCTTACTCTTTTCTCAGGCGTGTCGATTGCTTTCAATTGTGTGATCAGGAATTTTTTTCTGTTTTTGGTCCATTTCAACGCCTAAATATATTGCGGACATCTTTGAAAACAATAGGCCAAGTCCTTCTGAGCCCATACCTACCCTTGTGAAAATTTTCATGAATATCGGACGATAATTGCAGACTGTATATAATACCCCAATCTGTGTTGTAAGGTGAAAAAATATAACAAAATATACAATTCAATATTAAGTCGAATTGAAACAAGTAAACTAATTTGCTCATTTCCAATTTATTGGTAGATCTTGCACTTAAATGGTCTTCCTAGATCTGGAACCAATATTTCCCAAAGACCTATAATTTCTTAGAAATGGCAAAAGATTAACATTTATTATTGGTTTTTGACTGAAACGCATCTATATGAGATACAGACATTTGACTATATTCGTTAACGAAATAGTCAGAAGTGCGTCTTTCCTGTATTTGTGAATTCTCGAAAAAGTCTCTGGAATGGACATTTTCGTATTTTGTCTACAAAAGTTGCCAAACTATTTCACACATTGAATATTTTTGGATGGCCATCTAAAACTGCTTGGCTTTTGCAATGTCCGGTAACCCCCTTTCAAATGTGCGCGAGGATCGGGCGATAATTACGACCTGTCGACAATTTTTCAGTTTTTTGGTCCATTTCAACCCCTAAATATATGGCGATCGTCTCCAAAAAGAGTAGGCTTCTATTCTGACCCTCATCTTATCCCCATGCAAAATTTCGTAAAGATCGGGCCATAAATACGATCTGTATATGATATCCTGATATCCTAACTACTTAGTTTTGTTAGCTGTAGAAATATTACCAAATGTTTAATTCAAAATGAAAATATGCCAAAAATATGACAAAATGGAAAAAATATGAGAAAATGTTACAAAATCAATATTTTCGTCTTTAGAGAGATATTTTTATGCAATTTTTTAGGCATTTTTTCTTTTCTGCCAAGAGGCCATTCTGAATTAATGAGAACTGTCGAAATCAGTTCAGCCGTTCTCGACATATAAGAGATCTTTCAAGCATATCTTCTTTGATAGACATATATATCGCACATATTTTGCTATATATCTGATTTCTTGGATGTTAACATCAATGTAAAGGTCAGAAGTAACCTTGTCATGGCTTTGTGATTTCGCAGGGATTTAAAATATTCGCGGTTTAATGAAAAATTTTGAATTTTTTCAACACAAAATATATGGTCTATTTTACCCGCTAAATATTATCCGATGACCACCCAAATTGGTAGGCTTCCCCGTCCTAAACTCTAGCTACATGCGAAATTCCGCAAAAGAAAGAAATAGGGTTCTATTCTGGCCCGACCCCGACCTCCATTCAAAATTTCGTGAAGATCGGGCCATAATTGCGACCTGTAGAGTGATTACAAATTAACATGGACAGACGGACAGACGGACAGACGGACGGACGGACATACATAGCTAGATCGACTCAGCTCGGCGAGCTAGGATGATCCATATATACTTTCCTATATGGGAAACCAATATTTCGAGGTGTTACATAAATTCTGGCCCAATCAAACTTATAATACCCCCAACACATAGTGTTGTAGGGTATAAATATGCTTAATAATTGAATTAAAAAACGATCAGCTTCCTCTTCCCATGTAGAGAAGAGGAAGAAGAAATATAGAGCACCAATCAGAAGTTCTAAAGTAGGTCAAGGTCTGACCACAAGCAGGAAAGTATTATAAGAGAAGACTCCATATGATTTGGAACTTTAGGTAGTATTTAATCCTAAGTCTTAAAGCTTGCGTGCTGGGATAAATTAATTTCAGATTTTTTTATTATTATGGTGAAAATTAATATTCACAAAGTGAAGACCTAACTGCCTGTTGCTCTCAACATTTTGTTTTTGTTTTGCTCATTTTTTTTTTTTTGTCTACCATCGTCTGCTACATATCATGCTGACTTTGACATTTTTCATGCTGTCATGCCACTCATGCTAAATACACACACACACACACACTCACAAACAGCTGTTGTTGTTACAAATGGCTTTACATTAATCTTAAAATAATTTCAGTTTTTGTTGTTTTTGCTCAGTCCATATCACATCTCAATGAAAGGGAAACTTATTACCCGGTAATAACCCACTGGCAGTAACTGTGATTATAAATCAAGTCATGTGTAACATGATATGAAATTATGGAATTGTTGTTGTTGTTACGAACCACTTATTCATACATTTTTATTACATTTATTATTATATAGATGTTTGCCTTTGTGGAGTATGAGGAAAGACCCCACAGAAAAAAACTATTATTAATTTTTGTAAAATAATAAGAGCACTTATGTTATTTCTTAAGAAGGTTAACAATGCCATCGTCATTGGAGCTATGTATATATGCTGACATACAAACATACATATAAATGAGACTACTTATTATTGTTGTTACATATGAGTGTACTTACATCACCAACTTCATGTCTCAAGACTTCCGCTGCTTTGTAGACTTCTTCTTTGCGAGAAATGTCGACAACATAACCTTTACAGTAGCCGCCAGCTTCTTGTACCATTTTGACGGTCTCATCAATGCCTAGAAAGAAATTAAAAAAAGGCAATGAAAATATTATTTTAAAAATGTCCTGCCTATTTACAGCTCTATTAGGTGAGAAATGTCAATAATTCAAAAGGATTAAAATATGGCAATGACAAAGAGGAAAGTTTTTTTTTTCAAAAAAAAAAAAAAAAAGTAAAAAAGCTGTAAGTTCGGCCGGGCCGAACTTTGAATACCCTCCACCATTTGAAACGAATTTGGTAAGTCTCAAAAACAATCAAATCCGTGTAAAATTTTGTTAAAATCTTAAAAATACCGAATGTTGCTATTATATTAGGATCTATACGACGACATGAACCTTCGTAGGTAATATTTTTTATAAGCCATTACAATATTTAAATACGAAACTTAAAAAAATTGGTTATAATGTCGATAAAATGATAATACCGAATATTGGCAGGTACCGTTATATGGGGTCTATACGAAGACATGGACCTGCACAGACAATTTTCTGGCATGGGCTGAAGTATCCATTCCGAAATTCACATGCGAAATTTGAAACAATCTCTGTAAATAATGTCGCTAAAATCATCAAAATACCGAATATCGGGGGGTACGGTATATGGGGGCTATATGAAGACGTGGACCTGTATGGCCAATTTTCTGTTTTATGCTGCAGTATCTATTACGAACTTCAAACACCAAATTTGGAACGATTTCGCTGAATAATTTCGCTAAAATCATCAAAATACCGAATATCGGGGGGTACCGTTATATGGGGGCTATATGAACAAGTGGACCTACATGGCTCATTTTTTGACTTAGGATGTAGTATCCATTACGAAGTTCAAATACCAAATTTGAAACGATTCCGGTAAACAATGTCGCAAAAATCATAAAAATACCGAATATCGGGGGGTACCGTTATATGGGGGCTACACGAAGACATGGACCTGCACAGATAATTTTCTGTCTTAGGCTGTAGTATTCATTACGAACTTCAAATGCCAAATTTGAAACAATTCCGGCGAATAATGTCGCTAAAATCATAAAAATACTGAATATCGGGAGGTACAGTTATATGGGGGCTATATGATAACTTGGACCTACATGGCCCATTTACGAACTTAACCTCCCTACTGGCCAAATATACATGTGTGCAAAATTTTAGCCTTCTATCTCAATTTGTTCGAAAGATAGCGTGATTACAACAGACAGACAGACAGACAGACAGACACACAGACAGACAGACGGACATGGCTAAATCGTCTTAGAATTTTACGCTGATAAAGAATATATATACTTTGTTGGGTCTGACATGAGTATTTCGAGGAGTTACAAACGGAATGACAAAATTAATATACCCTCCATAGTATGGTGGAGGGTATAAAAACATTAAAACGTATTAGTCAGTTTTGCGGAAAGATGTATACCCTCAGTCAATGTTCGATTATTTAAATATATTTTGACTTCTGTTGAAATTGTTGGCCCCCTATGTAGTGGGATGTGCGTGAGGTACCAGATGTAGTCGACCGAAATTTGAAGAGAGTTGGATGTTTATTTCGCTTTCTTTGAGCGTTTTGTTTTTCAAAATCGTAAACCCTATGTGTGGGAGAAACCAGAAAAAAGGTCCGATCTTTACCATGTTTATAAAGGACCTTGTTTTGATGGAAATATTGAGATGTGCCAAGTCTGAATGGAATCGGATGTTAATTTTGCATTTTATGAGCTTCATGGATATTCAATATGTTGACTCTTGGTGAGGGAGGTACCAGAAGGAGTGGATTGATATATACCATCTTCAAAGGAAATCTTGTGGTAGTAGAAATAAAAAAACATTATTTCGATGGGATGTGTGAAATATTAAGAGAACCGGATGCATGTTTCTGGTTTTATAATCGTTTTGTCTATTCAAAATGTTGACCCTTTGTGGGGGAGGTATCAGAAGGAAAGGTTCGATTTCTACCATCTTTATAACAGATCTTGTGTTGATTGAAATATTGAGATGTCCCAAGGCTGAATTGAATCGAAAGTTTATTTCGCGTTTTAGGAGCTTCATGGATATTAAAATTTTAACCCTTTGTGACGGACGGATATCGCTAGATCGATTCCAATTGTGTTGAAACGGATTTGGTCCAAATGGACCTAGGGTCAAATACCGTTATTTCGATGAGGCACATTTTGGCCGTTTCAAATGATACATACCCTCTCACACCATATTGCGGAGGGTATTAAAAATATATATATTTTAAACGTTCTAAAACCTAAGAGGTACAAGTTCTTCCATCGTATATTGTTGAAATCATGGAAACCATATATAAGTTCCTCCTGATTCCAAATTATAAATATATAATCGATAGTCGGATCAGATTTGGATATAGCCCCCCTATATATCTTCAACCGATTTCGGGTTAATTGTACACCAAATGGCCAATATCAATCCAAAAGTCCTGAATTTTAGTACATCCGACCGAATTCAGTCTAGAAGCAAGTAAATCGAATTCGGAGAAAATCGGTTCAAAAATTGCTATAGCTCACATTTATATGTTTAATCCGATTTGTTGTTTAAGTCCCCCACATTCGTAATATGCATCCCACAAGAATGATGTTAGGAATCAGATATTAGATAGAGCCCAGGAATATCTCTGCCAATTTGTATCAAGATAGGTTCAGATTTGAATATAGCTCCCCTAAATATATATTCAACCGATTTCGGGTTAATTGTGCACCAAATGGTAAAAATTACCAGAATTTTGTGCACATCCGACCAAATTCAGTCTAGAAGAAAGTACATCAAATTCGGTAAAAATTGGTTCAGATATAGCTTTAGCTCCCATATTTGTGTTTCATCCGATTTGGTGTTTAAGTCACCCACATTCGTAATATGTGTTCGACAACAATGATATTTTGTACCAGATATTTTATATAGCTCGGAAATACATTTGTCGAATTTTTTTCGAGATCGGCTTAGATTTGGATATAGCTTCCATATATATCTTTAATCCGATTTTAGGTTTATTGTGCCATTATTTGGTTAATATCAGCCCAAAGGGAGTGCATTTCGGGACGTATGTTTCCATTTTGTGGAACTCGGCTATTATAACATTTTTATACCCTACACCACAAGGTGGTCAGGGTATTATGTCTTTGTGTATTTGTTTGTAACAGGCGAAAGGAAACGAGATAGACCCATAGTTCCTTTTGATGATATGCATAGAATCACATTCTGAGTCGATTTATGCATTGCAGATAATCAGACAAAATTTAGATATAGCTCCCATATATATCTTCGTCCGATTTGCTTTTTATTGTGCACCAAACGTGTAATATCAGGTCGAATGGTATGGAATTTTGCACATACAACCAAATTAGGCCTGAAAATAAGTATGCCAAATTTTATCGAAATCGGTTCAAATATAGCTATAGCTCCCATATATATTGTTCATACGATTTGTTATTTTTATCCTCCGCAGCCGTAATATGCACTCTGTAACAACAATATTTTGGGAAATATATGAAATACAACTCAGAAATACATTTGCTAAATTTTATCGAGATCGGTTTTGATTTAGATATAGATCCCATATATGAATTCGTCCGATTTACCTTTTCTTGTACACAAAACTAATAAGTCTAATATTTGCCCAAATGGGATGGAATTTGGCGACCGAATTGAGTCTAGAAGCTAGCATGCCAAATTTGGTGAAGATCGGTTCAGATATAGCTATAGCTTCCATATATATTATTCATGCGATTTGTTATATTTGTTACCCACAACCGTAATATGCACTCCGTAACAACGATATTCAGGGAAATATATCAAATACAGCTCAGAAATATCTTTGCCAAATTTTATCGAGATCGGTTCAGATTTGGATATAGCTCCCATATATATCTTTATCTGATTTCAAATTAATTTTGCACCAAATGGGCAATACAAGTACGAATTTAAAGATACAAATACTTCGGCATATTTAGTCCTTTGAACTTAAAGTTATAATTATAATCATAGCGTGTATGATTGAATTCTCCCATAAAATCTTTTAATTTTTATGCGGAGCTCAACTAAATTAGCAAAGTGGTGTATGATATCATAAAGTCGGCCCCGCCCGACTTTAAGACTTTCTTTACTGGTTTATAATACCAAAGTGTATGTTCAACGAGAAATACTTTGAAGGCAGACAGTAACTTCCCGGCCAAATTAGCACTTCTGACATTTTCATCGATATTCTAATCCAAATCCTTATTAAATTCCTTAAATGTCCGTAAATATTTGAATAGACCTTTTTTTCGATGCCTCCCATCTTAACTGCCTTCACAATTAAAGTGTAAACCATTTGGTATTATTGGTACGCTTTTAATACCATGAAAGTATGATTCTAAATCCCAAATTTAGCAGAGAGAGTTAACTTTTGGTTCTGAAGGCAAGAACTTTTGAAAATCTCGCACTTATGATTTGGATCAAATATTCTAGTTTTACGCCATGATCCCTTTATATTACAAGTCTCCACATTTTCTGTTATCTAATACGAATATCCCGAAGCATCTATATTTTCTATATGGATATTTTTAATACACATTGTTATTTCCAGATAAATATTGAAAAGTTTAACTAAAAATTTTAACAGTATATTATGAAATTTACTTGCATTCAATATCATTCTTATTCTAGAGTTTTCATCTCAATTATCACCATGAATAATTTTGTTCTTCTTCCTAAACATGCATAACGAGACCGAAATAGCCTTACCTTGTTTATTGATATCCCATACGATGACTTTGGTGCCCATTTTGCCCAAGCGCATCGACAGCAAACGGCCCAAACCGCTGCCGCCACCAGTCACCAAAGCGATGTCATTATTTAATTCCTTTTCGGGGTAGCCAAAGGCGATGTAGTAAAGATCCTGCAAAACAAAAAATTACAAAAATATGTCATTAAGGAGAATTTTTTTAATTGGAATAGTTTTGTGTTTATTATCTTAATTAAAAATGCGATGGAATGTGAAATAACAAGTCCAAATAGGAAAAGGGTTTTTGTTTACTTAAAAATGTATTTTTATCATTTTTAAAAAATTGTATCTTAAAATCACAAAATTGATTTAGAGAGCAGTAGTGAAAAAAATTACATTTGGCAAAATGATTGGCAATGTAAGCCATATATCTTAACTTAATGTTGTTTACAATAGGCCATTTATAAGGTTAATAGCCATTAATTATAATCTATAATTTCTTTTAACTATTAACCACTATTACTTAAAAGATAAACTAAAGTGGACTGATACTATCGAGGAAAATTCCGAACTAAGTAGTCAGTTAGATAACAATCTTAAATGGATTTTTGTAATTTTTTACAGTGAATGATCAAAACAGTATGAAGTTTTCCATGTAATTTATGAGATAATAATTTTGAATTGTTATTGTCATATGATTTTCTAAAGAAGCAATTGCTGCCTTACTGTGTATAATGATTTTTTCTATAAGAAAAATATTCATTATAATATCAAGAAATTGGAAGAAAAATCAATTCCAAAATTGTTCTTCACTCCTCAATCTTCTATGGTGGAGAAAATTTATTCTTCGAAGACTAAGTAGCTTTTTCGGACCAAACAACACACACACAAAAATCATGATTTTTTAAAAATTTTTTGAAGGAATATCAGATCAATATACGAGGATTTAAGAATAATTTTTTAAAGGACTATTTAATACATAAATTTCAATCTTTTTATAATTTTTATTTTGTTGATTTATAAATGTTGAATATTCAATATATATATTTTTTTGAAAGACTTTTAGATCTATAAACGTGTCTTTTTAAAGATTTTTTTTGAAAGGTTAAATCCTTGGATTTTCGGTTCATTTTTGAAACTACATCATGGATTTTTAAATAGTTCGTCCATCTATTGATTTTTCCAAAACTCTTGATTTTTAAATATTTTAAGAACTAAATTTCGTAGATTTTTGAATTATTTTTAAAAATTATAAGATCTATATAGTGGTTTTCTAAATATTTTTTTAAGGTCTAAAGTCATGGATTTTTAAATTATTTATTTATGGACCATAAACATGGATTTTTGAATATTGTTTTAAGGACAAAATTTGGGGATTTGCTGAGAAATTGTTGAAGATCAATAATAGTGAATCTTTAAATAATTTTTCCTGATTTCCTAATTTTTACCCTCAGCCATATGGCTAGGGAGGGTATGCATCATTTGATACGACCAAAACGTGCCTCGTCGAAAAAGCGATCTTAGATCAAGGTTGTCTTTCGACCAAATCAGTTTCAGAAAATTTGGAGTCGATCTAGCGACTTTTGTCTGTCTGTCTGGCTGGTACGCATGATAAATCTCGAAAGGAGTATCCGATTTGGTCCAAACTTGGTACATCGTAATATTATTATCAAACTTAGATCATGTTCGGAGATGGTCAATATCTGGCCACTCCTTCCGGTACTTTCCCACACAAAAGGTCGAAATTTACAAAAAAAAAAAAAAAATACTGAACTGAAAGATAAAAAATAATCCAATTTTGCTCCCACTTTGCAAATCCCAATATTTGCGTCAGTGCTACGTCAGGTGAGAGAATGGATAATATCGGTCCACTCCATCAAGTACCTCCCACAAAGGGTCAAAATTTTGAATATTTATAACTGTTATAAAATGTGATGTAAGAGTCTGATTGTCTTCAAATTACGTATATAAAAATATTTTTATTAACCCAAGATCTGGTGTGAAAATGGAATATATCGGTCCACTCCTTCTGGCACCTCCCCTACAAAGGGTCAAAATTAGGAATACCCACGAAGCTCATAAAATACCAAATTAAGATCCGATTCCATTCAGACTTGGCACATCTCATTATCTCCATCAACACAAGATCTATTATAAAGATGATAGGGATCGGGCCATTTCGGACCAAAGCTAGGAATAATCAAAACGACAACCAAATACGAAATAGGCATCCGGTTCTCTTCATATTTCGCACATCCCATTATTTCTACTAAAACTCCATCCATCCAAAAAGGGTCAAAATTTTGAATATCCATGAATTTCATAAAACGCGAAATCGACATCCGATACAAAGGGTCAAAGTTTTGAATAAACAAAACAATTATAAAATCCGAAATTAGCATCCGATTCTCTTCATATTTTACAAATCCCATTATTTCTACTAACACTAGATCTGAGATGAAGATGGTTTGTATATGTTCACTCCTTCCGGTACCTCTCCCACAAAAAACGCGAAATTAACATCCGATTCCATTCAGACTTGGAACATCTCAATATTTCCATCAACACAGCATATTTTATAAATATGGTAGAGGTCGGCCCACCCCTTCTGGTACCTCTCACACATAAAAGTCAACATTTTTAAAATCTATGTAGCTCATAAAACGTAAAATTAACGCCCTATTCCATTCAGACTTGACACATCTCAATATTTTCATTAAAACATGATATGTTAAAGAGATGATAGGGATTCTTCTGGTACCTCGCCCACAAAGGGTCAAAATTTTGAATATCCATTCCATTTTTAATTTAAAAGAAGTTTGTGAAACAGTGGCATTGCTTACCGAAGAGTTCTGCAATTTTGAATTATTCTTTGAAATCCTAAAAAAATGTGATTTTTTTTTAAATTCTCCAAATAGAAATTTTCCTTTATTTTCTATCTTAAGTTCACACCCAAAGCGTTTCTTCAAGTATTGCATGTTAATCAACCATCAACTTCCTTCCGCTGCTTAAAAAAATAATTTCTCCCCTTCAGCATCTTTTCTGAGATTCCCACTACACAAAATGACTAGCCAGCCCAAGTATGTTGTTGACAATTTTTATTTAATTATTATTATGTTTAAAAACATTTCGGTTGGCATATTTGTCAGGCTTCTGCCGAATTGACCAACCAGCTGTCATTAAAGTAAATTCAAAATGCCATTATTTAAGCATTAACATGATTTACAACGGCAACATTACACCTCGTTTTTTATGACAGCATTTTATGACTGTTTTTTGTTGTCGTCCGTTGAGTCTTCTTGAAGTTGTTTACCACAATGGAGAACTTCCAAGGGGAACACGAAGTAAACAAACCAAACAACATTTCATACAGATGACACTTTTTTGTGGAACGAAAAGAAGAAGACCTCTGCACAATCGCCAAAAGATTGCTTAATAACCATCTGGTGAACGATGGACGTTGGTTGGACGATAACCATCGCTTCCAGATTGCAGCTTGAAATTTAATGCATTGCACTTAAATGTCATCAGACTGCAAAGTATCTACCTGTCACCTCTTTTGGTCGCTGATTTTTTCAAGGTCATGGTAATGTCAGAGCATTACTTCTCTTTGGTTTATTTGCACTCCTATCACTTATGTAAATCGTGGAGATACAATTTAAAGTGATCTTGTTACCAGTTGTGAGGGTTGGTATTGGGGCGACATTGTCCCCAGTGCCTTGAAGGTTAATTGTGCAAAAAATGTCATTCGATCGCATTGATTTATCGTAGAGGTGAATGTTAATTACCTTGATATGTGGGGTTTTAAACAAAGTTGTATGCTGATTGTAAGGAAGTTATGGGTTTGGAGAATGGTAACAAGAAAATATCGGTTCTGACAGAGTCAATGAAATAGGTTCCTTTGGTAGAATTTCTTAGGGAAAAAGGAACTTCAACCTACAGAAAATTTACAAGGATGTCTTTGTAGAGGAAGAAGGATTTAAAAATAAATATTTTGAATATCCTCGAAATATTCAAGGACCATGAGACATATAAACGTGGATTTTTAAACATTTTTTTCAAGGATTTTAAACTTTTATACTTTAAACGTACATTTTTAAATATGTTTTTTCAAGGGCTGTCAGATCTAAGAACTAATATTTTAAAATAATTTTTTTAAGGATTTCTTAAACGTGGATTTTTAAATGTTCTTTTTTCAAGGACTATTAGATATATAAACATGGATTTTTAAATGTTCTTTTTTCAAGGACTATTAGATATATAAACTTGGATTTTAAAATTATTTTTTCAAGATCTTCGAATATTTCCAAGGACTTTAAAGGTGGATTTTTAATTTTTTTTTTCAAGGACTTTAAAAGTAGAATTTTAAACAAAAAATTTCAAGGACTTGCAGGTTTATAAACAATGATTTTCAAATATTTTTTTTAAGGATTGGATGTATTTTTTTGGAATATTTTTTTAAGGATTTTAAAATATATTTAAATATTTTTTAAGGATTATTAGATATATAAACGTGGATTTAAAAATTATTTTGTTCAGGACTTTAAATGTGGACCTAAAATAATTTTTTCAAGGACTTTAATCGTAGATTTTTTAACAAATTTTTAATGACTTTGAACGTAGATTTTTAAACAATTTTTTCTGGTACTGCCAGGTTTATAAACAATGATTTTGAAATAATTTTATAAGGATTTTAAATGTGAATTTTAAATTAGTTTTATTCAAGGATCAGTCAGTTCTATAAACGTGGGGTTTTTCAAAGATTTCGTGGATTTTTAAAGAATTTTTTTTAGGATTTCGTGGATTTTTAAATAATTTTTTTTTCTAGGATTTTGTGGATTTTTGAATAATTTTTTTTCTAGGATTTTGTGGATTTTTAAATAATTTTTATAAAGAACTGTCAGATCTAAAAAACTGGATTTTTAAATATTTCCTTTCACGGATTTCGTGGATTTTTAAATATTTCCTTTCGCGGATTTCGTGGATTTTTAAAGAATGGTTTTCAAGGACTAGCAGATCTATATATGTGGATTTTTTAATAATTGTTTACAAGGGCTAGCAAAAACAGATGACACGTATATCCGCTCTTTTAAAGATTACATTACAAGTAACCTAAATAGATAGGGAAGGTCCCCCCTCTTCCACATTTTTTCAATATTTCGGACTACGATTCC